AGCAGTGCAATAAATTAATGGCACATTTCTCTACTAAGAAAGACAAGATCCGCACCTCACTCTCTGCTGCTGCGCAACCTCAGTTGAAGTTGCCATTAGCAGTTTCAGAAGGTGGCTTCTTTCAGTTCACCACTGCTACTGAGAGAGAATTGTGCATAAAATGAGGCCGTCTTCTTTTTCTCCGGACCCACTTCCCACCCCTCTGATCAAATCCAATGCCTCTGCAATAACTCCACTTATCACTGCCATAATAAAGAAATCCCTTCAAAGCGGCCACATCCCACCCACAGGAAAAACAGCCTTCATTCGTCCTCATCTTAAAAAACCATCTCTGGACCCTGACATTTTGGCACACTACCGCCCTATTTCTAACCTCCCCTTCCTGGTTAAGGTCATGGAAAGGGTTGTTTCTGACCAACTTCAGGACCACCTCAAACACTACTATCTCTATGAAAAATTGCAGTCAGGCTTTGGATCAAACCATAGCACCGAGACAACCCTGGTCAGGGTCACCAATACCCTTATGGTGGCTTCTGACCAGGGCTCTCCATCACTACTCCTAGTCCTGGACCTCACAGCCGAATTCGACACCATAGAACACTGAATCATCCTTCATGGCCTTCATACTATAATTGGTCTCTGGCACCACTCTGAGATGGTTTGGGTCCTATCTCACTGATAGAGCTGAGTATGTGGCCTTGGGGGAGTCTAAATGTTTGACTCACACTGTCTCCTGTGGAGTCCGTCAGGGGTCGGTTCTTGGGCCGACCCTGTTTAACATCCTAATGCTACTCTGGGCCACGTCATAGGCAGGCATGGAATGTCCTTTCATAGCTATGCCGATGACACTCAGCTCTATGTGAGACTAGACCCAGCCTCTTCCTCATCCACCCCTGCTGCACTCACCTCCTGCCTGGAGGCGATAGAGGCGTAGATGTCTCGGAATTTTCTCTAGCTACACAGCACAAAAACAGAAGCTCTCCAAATTGGCACCCCCCATCAACTTAGTTCCCTGTCTGTAGACTGCATTCATTTCTCTGGTCATGACATCACCCCCTCCTCCTGTGTTACAAACCTTTGTGTCAGGTTTGACTCCCAACTCACTTTTCATCTACACATCCAACATCTCAACATTGCCAAACTCCACCCCTCTCTGTCCCTCTGTGATGCTGAGAAACTGGTCCACGTCTTTATCCCCTCCAGGTTGGACTATTGTAATGCCTTCCTCGTCGGGATCCCTGGCAGAAGCCTTCTGTCACGGGGTGAGCTGAGTGAGGACTCAAATGCAGGAGTGCCAATATAAAGCTTTTAATAAAACAAAGTCCAAGGCAAAAAACAAACTCCAGAAATCCAAAGTAACCAGGACAGAACATGACAAAACAATGAAGCAGCAACAAGGGGAGAGAAGCACAGGTACATATAGACACAGACACAGGTGAAACACATCAGGGCGGGGCAGACAATCAAGACAGGGGAAAACAGGACTGGAAGTCAAACTGAAACAAAACCACAGAACTCATTTCAAAATAAAAGCAAAATACACAATCAAAAGCCACACCATGACACCTTCAAAAGCTTCAGCATATTCAGAACAACGCTGCCAGGGTCCTGACGAGGACACACAAGTTCAACCACCTCACACCCGTCATCAGTAAACTCCACTGGCTCCCCATACACCTCCGTTTAGAATATAAAATCTATCTCCTCACTCACTTCATGGCATTCATGGCAACGCTCCAGATTATCTGAAAGACCTCCTCACCCTACAGTCCACATCACGATCTCTCCGGTCCACAAACACCTACCCTCTCAGTCAACCAATCACACGCCTTCATTCCATGGGAGACAGGACTTTTTCAGCAGTTGCTCCACACCTGTGTAACGCTCTGCCTCAAGACGTGCGGGCGCCACAGTCTGTGGAGTCCTTCAAAAAGCACCTGAAAACAGCTGTTCAGGAAGACCCACGGTTGATCTGCAGCCCAGGCCTTTTTATGCATTTTATTTTCTGAATTGTTCATTTAATTGTACATGTACAAGACTCTTTCTCCAGGGACAAATATTACATATTATTTATAAAACAAAAAGTTAGGTACCTAGCTTTAAGGAGCTTTAATGTGGACCTCTGCAAGGTTTCTCATTTTCTCCTACTGGGTTTTTACAGTTGTTCCTTGTCGATGCAGGAGGGTCCAACCACAGAGCTGATGATCCAGGGCACCTGACATTCAACGACATTAATGGATGTCAAATAATGTCCACATCTGCCTCTTATGAACCCATGTGTTTTTCCCACTGCATTTCTTGTGTTTGAACTGTTTCATTCTCTGATCTGTCTTGGCAAATTGACGGTTTCATCAATTCAACTACTGTTGTGAATTAGGGCTATACAAAAAACTGAATTGAATTGCACTTTAAGTCTGATAATTATATTTCGGAATGTGTAAAGTGCGAGCTTTCACAAAGAGCTGTGAGAAATGCTGAACGCTGATTTGTTCTATATCATGACCTTATATGAGCAGGGACCCTCGGGCTCCACACCATTTGCCCTGGCTGTACCCCCTGAAGCTTGCGCCCCTGCTGGGATATGACCTCCTCCATAACATCAGCGCTCAGAGCTGTCATCCGCTCAGCATTACATCAACTGCAACCACACAGCAGCATGACCTTGCTGCCAATGTCCTTAACAAGTGCGAGAAATCTGCATTCCAAGACTTTGCCACGATGCAACATGTCGTCCCGTCATGTTCTGCGGTATACATTAAACATTTCATGAATAATAAGTGAGTTAAAACACTGGAAACGTGTTTGTTGCCCTGGTAAGTGCCGTAGCGAACAGAGTTTCTTCATGTCACGCTGTTCCGTCTGCAAAAGCCACATTTAACACTTAGGAAATCCCCTCGATGCAGCAGCAGAAGAAATGCATTTGTGCGTTAGTGCCGAGTCGTGCTTATTCTAATTCTTTCGGCAACCCAGTTTCACAGACATTCCCCTTGAATATAATCCTGACAAATATCCCTGTTATGAGGAATGATTGGATTAATGCTACGAACTATATGGGCGATTTCTATGTTAAATAGTGTGCAAAGTGCAGCGAGGTACGTTGTGAATCTAAACGCAAAATCTGAAGCAGAAGTTTCAGCAAGATTATTCATGCTATTCAAGATTACTAATACTATTCACACAGATATGTTGGTTGTATACCAATCTCTATTGTTCAGGTGAAACTTAGGAAAATTAGAATATTGTTCAAAAGTCCATTTACTTCTGTCATTCTACTTACAGTTGATAATAATATATGACAGACTCATCACACATATATAATGTTGGTAATTTGTTCACAGCCGTAACAAATAGGGAGGCAAAAGGGGGGTAAAATGTGCACAAATCATATTTAAATATAAGAAAATGATTGTAACATTTGATAAAAAGAAGGTATGAGATGTGAGAAGAACATAATGCTAGTTAACAGGGGCAGAAGATGGAATTACTGTATCTATTTTGGTATTTAACAGTCCATCCATCCATTTTCTTCCCCTTAATCCAGGGGTGCTCACACTTTTCAGCATGCGAGCTACTTATAAAATGATCAAAATGAGGATGTTTTTACAACAATAAGATCTTCTGAACAACAGCTGGTCCCACTGAATGAGACTGGAGCTTATGTTTTTTGGAAATAGATCTTTTGATGACACATGGCAGAACAGTGACAGGAGACAGGATTGGAGGCTGAGGCTCTGTGTGCTTCCCTGTGACTGAGGAGTGAGAAATGTGTTTCCTCCACTTTGTGTGTCTCTTCAAACGCTCTGAAAGTGTGTAATCAGGCCGCAGATCTTAGAGTTTGAGGCTGAGGCTGCCGGATCTCCCAGTGGCAGAGCAATAGATCCGCCCCTCGGCATAAAATAAACCTAGGACAGACTTTTGTATGAAATGAATTCCTTGTTTGCATATTACAAGTTTTATAAGAATTATGTTATTCTAATATCCCCTTTATTGCATTGGAAATTGAATATAGCAGGTAGCACCAAAGATGTCATCATTATGTTTTTTGTTTTGAGTCACATAACCAACTTTACTCAACTCAAAGTAATTGATAGGCCTATTCGTATAGAGCGCTGGCCCTTTAAGACCTGCACGTTATGGTTGTAGTTAACAGCAGAGAAGCTAAGTGCTAACAACAACAATCATAATATATTTGTAAAGCTCATTTAATGCATGGTTCAATATATCGTAATGTCGTCTCTTGTGCTATCCATGTATTGCTAATCAGCCTATCACTGCTCAGAGCTCGGCGTAGTTCCACTGCTCCTCCATGTCAAGTGAAGGTTTCTTGCCTCTCTGTGCAGATGTTTCGGGGCAGGTCCAACCAGGAGGAGACCCTGCAGAAGATTCATTATAATTCATATGTTCATACAATTTTAAACTACGTACTTTATACCACTGATCCTTTTCCCTATCTGAGCATTTGCTGTGTCATCTTGTCTCTCTCTCCATTCATTTCTCTCTCTTTTTCTCTCTCCCTCTCTCTATCTATTCATCTATATACTGTATAGACTCATCTATCTACTGCTAACATTTGCAGATGCTAACATGCAACTACATATTGCCTGCACTAGAATACACAATACTTTACACTTGCCGCTTATTTTGCCAAATGTAAATTTTGTATACTTCTTTATTATTATTATTATGTTCAAGATAGAGATTTATACTTGTTCTTTGATGCTAGAGTTACAGAGTTAGTTTTATTTTAATTAGGATAGCTATTGTTTACTTATCTTGTGCTGTGTGCTCTTCATTCCTACTGTTCTAAAACTTGTGATGCAACACTGAAATTTCCCCGCTGTGGGAAGAATAAAGGATCTAACTTTTACTGCTACATAAAACTGATGCATTATTCTTATAGTCTCTCTCTCTCTCTCTCTCAGTTTAAACTCATAGGCAGTTTAAATATAAATGGTGCGTGGGACAGAGCAAAGCGTGCTGCTCTGTTCCAGTTCATTCAGATGAAGGGAGTACATGTGGTGCTCCTACAGGAGACACACAGTACTGCAGAGATAGAGTCAGACTGGAGGAGGGAGTGGGGGGGCCAGCTGGTCCTCAGCCATGGCTCCTCCTCCAGTGCAGGAGTAGCAGTTTTGTTCTCCAGGAGGTGTCTTCCAGTGAGTGTAGAGACTGAGGAGGTGGTAGCGGGCCGCCTGCTCCTCGTACGTGCACAGTTGGAGACCACTACAGTAACATTTGTGTGTGTGTACCTGCCGTGCACTGGAGCACAGAGGGTCCTGATGATGGACACTCTGGCTGTGTCCAAAACGCTAGGCATCGGGCCGCGTAGGGTGGATATGTAGGCATCGTGACGTCACTTCCTCAAGCGACGGCTATTGCAGGGGTGTCCAAAACCACTTGGCGAGCTCGCCAAGCGTAGGCATCATGACTTCGTCTCTATGGAAACGGCCACTTTTGGAGCAGATATGAAGGATGCATCTGATGTATGCTTCGCTGCCTTCTTTTTGCCAAGTCACGGCCGCGCATGCGCAGAACTCCGTTCGGCATTAACATGTAAACAACAGCTCGGATCTGCTGGAGCTAACATTATGGTAAGCACTTTACTGTGAAGTTATGTCTATAGTAAGTACTGCTATACTTTACTGTTGAGTTATGAACACGACTGTTATGATAAAACACAGACATAAATTAGATCTGCCACAGATGTGTGTATTTAACCTTGTTATCTGCTGTGAATAAGCTCAGTCCCGAAAAGCTAATGCTACGAGGCTAGTTCATTCAGATTCGGTTTTTGAACAAGAAAAATCATGTTGTGTTTTATCTTTTAGGGAGAAACAAACCCACTGATTAAATATTAAAGCTACACTGAGGAAATAGTCACGTTTTCATGGAAAATCACTCTGCAGCACAGCAGCTATAGTATGCTAACACATGTTTTCTGTATTCATATAAAATAGATTGTGCATATCGTTTTTAATCCCATACTGAGACTGGGAAAACTGTATATATTAGACATATGAAATTATAGAATAGGCCAAGAATAATTATAAAGCCCTTTTCATACAATAGTCTAATAAATAGTAAACACACATTATACAGAGGTTTCGTTTGTCATTAAGACATTTGCAGAGGACAAAGTCCCACTTCCACAAACACAGGTTTAAAGTGGTTAGCCATGCTTCTAACTTGATTATTTGTGTATATTTCTATCATATCATTCTTCTGTTTCCCCTGCTGTGAAGCTTGTATCTCTAATATTAAATACTGTAAGGATTTCTGTATTTTATTTTTAACCAGTTTTTTGCAAAGCCCCAAATAAATAGTATTAATTGAATATGAAGTGTAAAAAGAATCCTAAATGTGGGCTGTGTTTTAATGCATGATGTTTGTGTTCTTCTTTTTCAGAGACTTGTGGTGAAATTAAGGTCATAATTTCTCCTGCTTCACCTCCATCACCTCCTGCTTCACCTCCATCACCTCCTGCTTCACCTCCATCACCTCCTGCTTCACCTCCATCACCTCCTGCTTCACTGCTGAAAACATTATGAACTACAACAAACTTGTATATAATATTTTCCTTTAATCACCAGTCATGAATAGTTAGAACAGTGGGCTCTGCATCTCTGAAGACATGTAGCAGAAGGAGCAGCAGCAGAAGGAGCAACAGGAGGAGTAACAGCAGCAGCAAAAGGAGCAACAGGAGGAGTAACAGCAACAGCAGAAGGAGCAACAGGAGGAGTAACAGCAGCAGCAGTAGGAGCAACAGGAGGAGTAACAGCTGCAACAGGAGGAGTAACAGCTGCAACAGCAGCAGCAGAAGGAGCAACAGGAGGAGTAACAGCAGCAGCAGAAGGAGCAACAGGAGGAGTAACAGCTGCAGCAGAGGGAGCTACAGGAGGAGTAACAGCTGCAGCAGCAGAAGGAGCAACAGGAGGAGTAACAGCTGCAGCAGAGGGAGCTACAGGAGGAGTAACAGCTGCAGCAGCAGCAGCAACAGGAGGAGTAACAGCTGCAGCAGGAGGAGTAACAGCAGCAGCAGAAGGAGCAACAGGAGGAATAACAGCAGCAGCAGAGGGAGCAACAGGAGGAGTAACAACAGCAGCAGCAGGAGCAGCAGCAGAAAGAGCAACAGTAGCAGCAGCAGAAGGAGCAACAGCAGCAGGAGTAACAGGAGGAGCAACAGCAGTAACAACAGCAGCAGCAGCAGCAGCAGCAGAGTCCTGGGCGTCTGCCTCTGACACAGGTCTCATCGACAGCACTTCAGAGAACCTGGAAATAAAGAAAACTAAAATCAAACTTGTTGGTTTTATTATGATTTTGTTGTTTGTGTGAAATGTAAAGAGTCATCAAAGTGAGGTATTATTTACACAACTACCCATTTGTCAGCAGTACTTATACTTGAATACATTAAACTCAAATGTGATTAGTAACGGTCTCTTTGCTTTTCAAGAGATATAAAAGTGAATAAGAGCAGTGTCAAACATCTGTGTTCAACTTCATTTTACAGATGTCTGTTAATGTTTCCATGGATGTGTCAGTTATTATTATAGATCCATGGATGTGTCAGTTATTATTATAGATCCATGGATGTGTCAGTTATTATTATAGATCCATGGATGTGTCAGTTATTATTATAGATCCATGGATGTGTCAGTTATTATTATAGATCCATGGATGTTCCGGTTATTATTATAGATCCATGGATGTTCCGGTTATTATTATTATAGATAAATGGATGTGTCAGTTATTATTATAGATAAATGGATGTTTCTCTCTCATCAGCAAACACACGTTGATACATTTAGTTCTGATAAAATTACTTTTAAGTGATGCACAAACGAGGGCCATAGCAAATATATAATCCATATCTAATAATCATTTATTGCATATATGTGCATTGTTTACATAAAATATAACTTTGTAAAAACTAATGATTACTGCCAATACAATTGTTATAACAGAGAAAGTGTAACAACAAAAGCATCCTCTGTTTTTTCAGAATACGATTGTAAACATCCAGGGGGCTCTCATTACCTGAACCCGTGTTTAGACAGCCTGTTCTGGGCTTCAGCACTGCAGCTAACTGGGCTGTTAGCTTATAGCACCGGAGCTTCAGGCTGGAGGTAAAGTCCGAAAATTTTCGAATTTATCTCCAAACAGACTTCTGATATGACAATAAAGGGGGATATTTCTCGCCTCAAATGATATTAGAATTAACTTTTATGTCCTAATTAAAGCGTATTTAGAACTTTTTACCGTCCATCATGGCCGCCGTGTCCTTCCGCTCCGAGTTGTGTAGTCACGTGACAAAGGCAGAAGGCAGCTGCTGTCCAAATCCACCTCACGTCTCGCCTCCTACCTCGCCTGTGGCTACGCGGCCTTCCCTCGATGCCTACATATCCACCCTACGCGGCCCGATGCCTACCGTTTTGGACACAGCATCTGTGTGAATGCATCAGGGACTGCACAGACTCTGGGGACGTCCTGTTTGTGGCCGGGGACTGGAACTGTACAGTAGAACAGGACAGGAACCAGGCTCAGGCTGAGGCGGCTGCTGGAGGCCCACAGTCTGGAGGACGTGTGGAGGACTCTGCACCCAGGGGTCCGTGAGTACATGTGGTCCCACTGTAAGGACAATGCTCTGTCTCTGGCCCTACTGGGCCGAGTGTATGCTCAGAGACACCAGCTGAGCATGTGCACTGCGGCTCACATCAGTCCTGTGGGCATCTCTGACCACAGTTTTATTGTTTGTGTAATTCGGGTGTCTAATGTGCGGGTGGGGAGTGCTTACTGCACTTCAATAATTCACTGTTTTTGGATAAAATGTTTGTTTGTGCTTTTAAAGTGTTTTGGGAGTCCCACCAGCGGTGTAAGGCCCACTTTGTGAGCCTGCAGCGATGGTGGGACTATGGGAAAGTGCAGATAAGGCAGCTGTGTCAGGAGTACACTCATGGTGTCACAAGAGACAGGGCCCGGCTTGTGAAGGAGCTGGAGACTACAGTGGTAGAACTGCAGCGTTTAGCAATTTCTACAGGAGAACGGGGGTGTTTACAGTCCCTCAAAGCACAAAAGTCAGCCTTGGCCAGCCTGCTGGGCACCGCTGCACAGCACCTATTTTTCAGTCTGGAGGTAAAGAACGGGCAGAAGAGGATCATCCAGTCTCTGCGCTCGGACAGCGGTCGCCTCATTACAGACTCTGCCTAGGTCAGGATCTTTGCCGCGGGCTTTTATGAACATTTGTTTAGCTCTGAGCTGCATCCCGGGTCTGTTATGGGAGGCTGGTTTGGGGACGGTCTGCCTCAGGTCAGTGATGAGGACAATAAGAAGCTGGAGGCCCCACTGACTCTGGCTGAACTGGGCTCTGCGGTGGGGAGTCTAAAACCAGGCAGAGCTCCGGGCATAGACGGACTTTCGGCCGATTTTTACAAGGCCTTCTGGGACGTCCTGGGGCCAGACCTTCTGGAGGTCTTTTGGACAGTCTGGAGAGCGGTCGTTTGCCCCTGAGGTGCAGAAGAGCAGTACTGACTTTGCTCCCCAAGAAGGATGATCTGCAGCTCCTAAAGAACTGGAGGCCAGTGTCGCTGCTCTGCATGGACTGTCCAAGGTGTTGGCGTCCCGGCTGAGAGCGGTAATGGCCTCGGTCATCCACGTGGACCAGACGTACTGTGTGCCCAGCAGGCTCATAGGGGATAACATCACCCTGATCAGAGATGTTTTGGAGGTCTCCGGCTCATTGGGAATCAACCTGGGACTGATTTCCATAGACCAGGAAAAGGCGTTTGACCGGGTTGAACACCAGTACCTCTGGCAGACCATGACTGCCTTTTGGGTTCAGCCCTGGGTTCATCGTCCACATCCGGACTCTGTATTGTGACATCATGAGTGTACTAAAGGTGAATGGGGGGCTCAGTGCTCCGTTCAGTGTGGGGAGGGGCCTCAGGCAGGTCTGCTCTCTGTCTGGGATGCTCTACTCCCTCTCCATCGAGCCCCTTCTGCATCGGCTCAGAGCTGACCTGCAGGGGGTGCTGCTGCCTGGAACACAACCTTTGAAAGTCTCTGCGTACGCAGATGACATAATAGTGTTCATCAATAGCCAGAGGGATGTGGAGGTCCTGGCTGACACGGTGCAGGTCTTTGGTCAGGTCTCCAGCTCCAGGGTGAACTGGAGCAAGAGCTCGGTCACTCTGCTCGGGGAGGGCCTGAGGGGTCTCAGCCTGCCTGGGGGACTGGTGTGGAGGACAGGGGGTTTTAAACACCTGGGGGTGTTCGTTGGCCCTGGTCATGTCCGGGGGAACTGGGATCAGTCTCTGGAGCAAGTTAAAGGGCGGTTGAGTAAATGGAGGTGGCTGTTGCCTAAAATGTCGTACAGAGGGAGGGTCCTTGTTGCCAACAACCTGGTGTCCTCCGCTCTGTGGCACAAGCTGCAGAGCACAGACCCACCTCTTTACTCTCACAGATCCAGAGACTTCATCTGGGACAAGCTGCACTGGGTCCCCCAGGCAGTGCTGTTTCTGCCGAAGGAGCAGGGAGGCCAAGGTCTGGTCCATCTGGCCAGCCGAGGAGCTGCCTGTAGGCTGCAGTTTTTACAGAGACTGCTAGCTGGGCCAGAGGAGCTGCTGTGGAGACCGTTGGCAGTCTCCATCCTGCAGAGGGTGGGGGAATTGGGGCTCCCAGGGTTCCTCAGTGACCACACACATGCTGGACTCCTGTCCTTCTTCCGTGGGCTGTTCTCGGTGTGGAGCAGAGTGAAGAGGTGAAGAGCTCCTCTTTGCACTGGCTCCTACAGCGGTCCCTGGAGTTTCCTGCCTGGGCGGGGCCTGTGCTGCGGGGCCGTTTCAGTTCAGGGGGGGTTGTCTCGGTGCAGCAGCTCCGAGATATCAGTGGTCCTCAGCTGGAGGACTGAGAGGCCCAGGGAGCCCACCTGGGCCTGAGGCCGGCTCGTACCCTGGAGCGTCTCCTGTGTTTCTGGAGAGAGGGTCTGACAGAGGAGGACTGGACTCTGTTAGAGGGACACAGTTCAGGCTCACTGACCCCTGACCCCACTGACCCCTTCCCCAGCCTCATCCTCAGCCCGGACCTGGGCTCCTTCTCTGGGCCCCTGCTGGCAAGTCCAGTCGCTGCCTCTCTGGAGGCTGCTTCAGGGAAGACCTTTTACAGCCTCATGGTCCAGGTCCTGAACCACCAGAGACTGTGTGACCGAGCAGACACTGTGTGGAGGTCACACCTGGGCCCCACCTTCAGACCGGCCTGGGCCTGCTGCATGGGGCAATAGCAGTCAATGCCTTTGTCTGTCGAGTGAACAGGGCTGTGGGGGAGGGCTGTCCCTTCTGTGGGGAAAGGGAAACAGTCTTCCACTGCTTCTGGGAGTGTGGGAGGCTCAAGCACATGCTAGAGCTGCTGAGGGGCCTCTTCACTTCACTGGGGGCAGAGTTTAATGCTCAGGTGTTTGTGGGGGGGGTCAGGTACTCCAGCCGCAGCAGGAGGAGGGGGCGGCTACTCAGTTTCCTCGTCGGTCAGGACAAGATGGCCGTCTATGTGAGCAGGAGGAGGATGTTCCAGGACCAGGGCGAGATCAGTCCCAGGGCTCTGATGGTCCGGATGGTCCAGGCCAGACTCAGGCTGGAGTTCGGCCTCTACAGGATAAATGGGGATCAGGAGGGGTTTGAGGAGCGCTGGGGGTTCAGGGAGGTGTGCTCTGTGAGGGACGGGGAGCTGTTTTTTTATGCCTTTTTATCTTTGTAAACCTATGAATTGAACTGAGTGTGATGTGTTGCATTGTTTATTTATTGCCAGTATTTGCACTTTTTCCGGTCTGTTAAAAATCTCTCTCTCTCTCTCTCTCTCTCTCTCTCTCTCTCTCGCTCTCGCTCTCGCTCTCTCGCTCTCTCTCGCTCTCTCTCGCTCTCTCTCGCTCTCTCTCGCTCTCTCTCGCTCTCTCTCTCTCGTACACAAACAAGCTGGCTACACTTCTCTCATGCTGAGTCTCCAAACAAATAAAAACACCCTCTTCCCCCCACACCTCTTCTCTTCTCTGCATGAATGTTCCTTCTTTTGATGCCTTCTCTTTTTTCCTCAATATCCACCGGGTTTTCCGCTGTTGCAAAGAACGCTTGTATGTCCTTCAACTAATTCCCGCCTTCTTGTCTGCTCCACTTGCTTTCTCGGTGCTCGTCCTTTCAAATATAGCCTGTATGAGCCGCCGCCGCTGTGATTCTTGTGGCATGGCGTTTTTGAAGAAGTAGAGCGGGCATAAACGCAGATGTGGCTCTTGTGATGTGGAACCATTTTGTTTGGTTTGTTTAGGCAGCGTATTACCCCAACCGCTCTCGTCACAGGGAATATTTATTTCTGTTATTTTTTGTTCCAAATTACTTATAAGGGGCGACAGTAGCTCAGTTGGTAGAGCATCGGCCTTCAGGTCTGAAGGTTGTGGGTTCAATTCCCACCTCTACATCTTCTCCACTGACTCCCACTGATGACTGCTGTCGTTGTGTCCTTGGGCAAGACACTTAACCCCACTTTGCCCAAAGCCCCCACTGAAAGATCAAGGCTATGCTCACACTCAGAGAGCAGCTGTCCTCCTGTGGACTCACCACCTGCAGAGGGTCAGTGAGGGGCTGGTGCTATGAGACTTGGGTGGCATCTCTGATTGCCACCCCCCTGACCCAGAAATGGATTAAAGGGTAGAAAATGGATGGATGGATGGATGGAAATTACTTATACAACATGAACAAAATGTACAACATGCATAAACTGGACAAAGTTTACGTCGGTCTGTCTGCCTGTGTCTGTCTGTCTCGTTCTCTATTATTCTTATTTGGCAGGGACATTTTGCATTTATAAACAAATGCACCAGAATTAGCCAAGCAGGCAATTTTTCAGGCTATTATTATCTTCGTTCTCTCCCTTTGGGTAATGACCGAAAGAACAAGATTGCGGATACAGGCGGTCGAAAGGAGCTTCCTCCGCACAGTGGCTGGGTGCTCCCTTGGAGATAGGGTGAGAAGCTCAGTCACACGGGAGTAGCTCCGAGTAGAGCCGCTGCTTCTCCACGTCGAGAGGAAGCAGCTGAGGTGGCTCGGGCATCTGTTCCGGATGCCTCCTGGACGACTCCCTGGGGAGGTGTTCCAGGGACGTCCCACCGGGAGGAGACCCCAGGGAAGACCCAGGACACGCTGGAGGGACTATGTCTCTCAGCTGGCCTGGGAACGCCCTAGGATCCCCTCCTGGATAGAGAACTCTGGGCGTCTCTGCTTAGACTGCTACCCCCGCAACCCAGCAACGGATGAAGCGGAAGAAAATGGATGGATGGATGGGCTATTTTTCATTTGCAGTCCCTGGACAGGTGTATAGTCTCCCCAAAGATTTCTATTATGTTTTTATTTATGTATTTATTTATCTGTTTTACCGTATGCCTTACTGTATCCATCATTTAGCGTCTTTGAGTGTCCAAAAAAGCGCTAAGTTTGATGCATTATAATTATTATTATTATGTTTTAGGACCCCCTCAAAATCAAGATGTTTAATCACGAGAGGCTCATTCTCCAAACAAATAGATACATAAAATAAATACTTTTTTTTTTTTTTTATTGGGGGTCTTCAACCTGTGGCTCGGTGGCTCTTTTCATTTATGCAGGGACACTGTGCAGTATAATGGTGCAGTCTATTATGCATGTGTATTCTCCACGATTGGCAGTAGTTATTAAACTGACTACAGTTGTATTACAACTTCTAAAGGGAGTAGCTCTGCCCTTTCTGTTTCATAAAAGTTTCTCTCCAATCGAAAAAGGTTGGAGAATCTAATACGTTGTTGGTGTATGTCATTATTGAATGGTCCTGTTTCCTGATTTGGTATTTATTGATTTATCTTTCTTTAGAGCATCCCTAAAAGGCAGTGATTTTGAGTAATAATTTACAATGATTGCGCTGAGTTTTTATGTTGCTCGGGCAATTTGTTCCCATAAACACTATTTTTCATGGCTGCTTTGGGGCGCGCTGGGTGAACCTAAATTGCAGGTCTGCAGTGTCCAGCGGACTGTGGCTGTGACCAAACAGATGGTCAGGCAAAAGCATATGTGAACCTAACCAGAACCAGGTCATTGGAATCAGAGAAACACATTTGCCGGAAACATCTCCCATTTATACAATATTCAATTACAGTCATGCAGACAGAATGGTTTGTGGTTTTGAATCTCCTGAGATAACATTGTCGAAAGAATCAGCATTTGCCGAACAGTTGTAACAGATCCAACTTGATTGTAGCTCTTTCAAACCCCTTGGAGAATTGTTTCTTTTGAAATACTTTTTCTTTTCTTTTTTTGCCTTTTTGGACAATAGACGCAGGTGCTTTTAGTTATAATTTATATCAAAGGGACAGTATGTAATATAATCCTGAACCTTCCTGCCAGTGACACATGTAGACTACTGAAGCAATCCACCTGCTGAGGTTTAGCTAGAAATGTTACAGAATCTGTTTGACTATGAGAGAGAGCCAAGACCGTCAACATTTCACCTAAAAACTGGCAACCCCCTGATTGGATCTGCTTACAAATAGAAAGCTTAAATATTATAGATTCCATGCCCATTGTACTTTTAATCAAGAATGACTGAGATTTGTTCATGTGACCAGTTGTTATCTGTGGACGAGGGAAAGATGTAGATTTAATATACCTTGAAAAAAATACATACTGTATATTCCCACGTGATGTTAGTTAAATAATGTTGAACTAAATTAACTTTTTACAAGACAGTCAATAACCAAATGTGTTATTGATCTCTGAATAGACTGTTATGACAGAGCTAATTAAATTGTGGCTGCTGAGTACTTACAATGAGTCAGTTATCCTCTCCGCAAATATGAAGAAAACCAGAACATGTAATATATTCATATTATTATATTATATTACATTCATTATTACATTCATTGTTTCAAGTAGTGCAGAAAAATTTGTTAAATTAACATAAATGTCCCTTTCAGCCACTTAATGACACAAAAATGATATCATATTGTCTCATATTCTTCCCACTCTTCCAGTCACTGTGAAAATATGTCTTTCTTTGAGCCAAGTCCAAGTACATTCTGCATCACTTTTATGTTTGTTCAAAGCAGTGCTAAGTTTAGTTCGGAAAGGAGGAGGACCACAATAGCTGCATGTTTATACACGAATAATCACTAGTGCCGCAAGTATTAAATTCAAGGATAAATGGTTCATAATTGGTTTAAGAATAAACAATAAAAATGACTATTACAGTGCATTTATGTCCCTGTGATTAAAATCAGACATAAAGCCATAAAGTGAGTGTCTCTATCACACATGACTTAATATTCTACAGGTAAAACTCTGAAAATTAGAACATTTTTCAAAAGTTCATTCACTTCTGTAATTCAACTCACAATGTGAAAATAATGGCAGACTCATTACACAAAAAGTGAGAAATATCAGGATTGCATTTGTTATTATGTTGAGAATTGGCTCACAGCTTCCTAAATCCTCCTCCTCCTCCTCCTCTTAGAAATTGAAAACATTTTGAAAATGCACGCCATAATAATCAACATTATAACAAATGGCTCGGTATTAGTCACCAATAAGTCTCTATCAGTATGTACTTGTATAGCACAGTTTATACAAAAGAGCTTCCCATAAACAACATTTAAACTCCCCTCCCTGTAAGTTAAACTCCAGAACTAAATTACGTTTTGAACAAATTACACAATTTTGTTTATTTATTTAATGTATCTTTATAAGGACTTTAAAACTCTCTCTTCATCTTGATCTAAAATGATGTAATAAAATAAACAAGTCAGCATACTTCCATGTTCTGTATTCAGTCCAGTCCTCCCATTCACGCGGTCCAAATGTGATCATCTTAAAGGGTTATTGGAGGCCCCACTGAGACCAATTTAACAATCAGAAGTTTTATTTTGGTTTTTACTTTGACCTGAGATGACCTAGAATAAATCCTCAGTGTAACCTATGTTATAATTTGTAAAACTCTAATGGGTTAGTCTTCCTGAAGTTGTGATTGGGGCCAATCAGTGGAAAGGGCTAATATAATAATAATGATAAATGACAGGGGATTTACATCATGGGTGTTACATCAGTGTAACACCGTGTATCACAGGTTCAGAGCAATAGACTTGGGACGTCAAAAGTATCAAAAATCAGGTATTAATTGACAAAAATCAAGTCCATTTTGTTTAGACATACAAATAGAGATATGGCTAAATACAGTATAAACTGTGATTGTATTGTCACTTACCATAATGCATGAGGCCTGACATGGCCAAAGGAATTCTTGTGCGATATTATTATTATTGATCAGATATGCTTTTATGAACTATTAGAACACTGCGTTTTCCACCTTTCTATGGAACCTGCTCTTCTGCAACTGTATTACAGATTCAATTGAAACTCATTACCAGTGCATTTGCGGTAAAAAGTCCACTTAACTTGTAAAACAAAGCAACTTTAGCCAAGTAATGCACCAGCGAGCACATTTGTGGCTGGACATTTGGTGATTAATCTAATTCCCGGGAAAGTAGATGAACTTCTCCTGACTAGGCCTTTCCTGCTCTGCACTCCAGTTAACTTTGTACAACGCTTTTGCAACAGCTTTGTGCGAGAAAATGTCTGTTAATCCTGTTTGCCTTACAACTGCACACACATCACAGCGTCCCGATGGAGAGGTTTTCAGCGGACATGTTTTGAAATGGCATCCAGGTGTAATCCAATCCAGCACCA